GTATAAGTACCTACATATACAAATAATTTTTCATTTGAAACTAGCTACTTATTATTCATAAAATTTTTCACACTATTTCTGATTTTCTTAAAAAAATTATTCCCATTTTTATTTGGCATGCTTCCTTCTCTTATTTGCTTCCATTTTACTAATATTATTCAGACACGTATCGAAATTGGCAATGTTTCATATAAGAGAAGCAACATTCAACTATATACTTCTCAATAAGGGTACAGTTAGTTGAAACATACCCAAAGTAAATTTAAGCATCTACATAATATGTGTGTTGAACTTTCTCTTATTGGTAAAGCACTTTCAGAAAGATCTTAAAATCTTAGACACGTGCTTTAAGTGGTTCGATGGGAATCTGAATAAATCCGCACTGTTTACTTTATTGATGTGATTATTAAATGTTGGAAATAAATGCTAGTGTGAAAAGTTATAGATAGTAAATAAGTAATTGAATGTGTAGGTAATAAACCGCTTATCTGAGTATCTTTACGACTATCGACTAAATTTAGCAAAGCCAGCCTAAAGAAAATCCTTAGAGATTTGTTAAGATAACAACATTACATTAAATTGCGTAACAGCAAAACAATATCTAATGGTAATGGTGCCAAGACATGTATGTCTTCATTTTAGTTTATCAGAAAAAATAAACGACTTTGAACAGAGAATGTGTGTTATTAAAACATCACACAATTCAGGTATTTTGCTTCGTAATTTAATGAGGACCAGCCTGTTTCAGCGTTAAACGCAGAACATTAAAGACGGAAAAACTGTAAATTAATTTTTATTTCAATAAAAATGAGTGGGGAAGCATTTATTTGTTTAAAACTATACATTGCTTCCAATTTAAAGAACTTAGCTTTGTTCGTATGAAAATATTAACACCACGTACATCGAAAACGATCGGAATAGGGCATATTAAGAAACATATCAACATTTTAAAATAAACAAACAGCAATAATAATAATAATACCAAGTATGAAAAATCCAAAACAGATCTTGGAGTGGAAAAGAAAGCGAGAAAGGCAAACAGAAAGAAGGCATAGAGAAAAGATGGCTGAAAAAGCGACGAAGAAACGAGGTTTAGAGATAAACGAATACGCAGATGCAGATGAAGATTTTGAATCCTACCGGACAGTGTTTGAAGACCTTTTCACATAGCACTTAAGTGATCTAAATTGACATTTAAAAATAAAGTTGGAGCAACTGGGGATGAAGGGGTGGTCAATAAGGGATGAATATCCCCAATCGCCAATTTGTTGCAAGGTTTGCCGAAACAAATTGTTTATAAAAATGTGAGAAGGAAATCACCCTAGGAAGTACGCTTGACTTCGGAAGAAGGGTTAAAAATAAAAGAAGAAATTTTGCACTACCGGCGTATAGTTTGGAGAAAAAAT